AAAAACAAGAGAACTTCGAGACTTCAAGAACATGATAAATCCACTCAATGGTCACAAAAGGAGGGGGAGAACTTTAGAGCCAATCAACTTTCTGGAAAAAAAATAATCATCTTTTCCACTGATTGCTTAAGGAATGCAAAATGCTAACAGCATCTTATGTTTGATCCTGGACCAGAGATGAGCTGGTAATGACCGTGCGCTAGTAACAATGATGCTAGGATTACTTTTATAGTTTTTTTTTTTTTAAGAGTTTAAGATTCTTATGTTAGCATTTTTAAAAATGACCGAGGATGACACAGACATTTCTAACCCCAGTACTTACCTTCAGAAGACAGATAAATGATATATCTGGAGCTCCACAGGCTTTTAAATCTCAGAGAGTATTGCACAGTGACAAAGTTCCCTGTTTTTAAAATTCCTTGACTGTGCACTGGGAGTTAGAGAGGATTATTTCAGCCCAGAGAAGTTTCCAGTTGCTATGGAGAGAGCTGCTCGGAAAGTAACAATGACAGTAGATAAAAAGGAGAACTTTCTGTCTGGTAGATTTTCAGAATAATCAAACACAGTTCATGAATTTGACTGTTTGTATCGATATTTAACCGATTTTCTTAGAATCGTCGGCAGTCGCTTAGTCTTTTATGGAACAGAATCTAGGTCAAAAGCTTTCACCTTGCAGAACAGAAAGACTTTGGTGTTTGATCAGAGTTTTTTCTTTCCAGTTGGTTCTGCACGAACTGATTCAGTCCAGACTTAAACTAGGATTCGTTGAAAAGATAGGCTCTTTAAGAACCTTATTTCACTCACAAGGATGCAGAAGTCTAAAAGATTTAAGGTGCGCATAAATAGATGTTTTCAAACATAAAGAAGAATATTTGTTGAAGGAATAAAGGTCTTACCTGAGAGGTAGGTGTGAGTGGGGAATTTTAATCAGCTACATATATCACAATCCCCAGCGTCAGTCCTTCAGGCCCTGCTAAATGCAGCCTCTCGATAAATTGTTAGTGAATATATGACCAAAGGACCAAACGAAGTGTTGCATTTTATAGGAGGCAAGAGAAGTTAAAACCTAACCTACGATCTCAAAACGGACAGAATACCTGCAAATAGCACAGGGGATTGAGCTGCTGGTGGAAAGAGAAATTAGGTGAGGAAGAAATTGGGATGATTAGTCTCATGGATCCCTAATTGGATATGACATGTGGGAAAAACGGGGTGGGATAATCCTATAGGAATACCAGGAACACCGATGGAAATATAAAAGGCAAATATTCCCAGGAAATTCCAGGCTTCTCTTTAATAACCCATCATGGAGCAGCTGGGTTTGTCTAAACTGTCAAGGGAAGGGAACCGGCCTCTTTCTTGTGAGCTCTATGGCGAGACTAACTGGAACCAGACACTGGAATCAGCAAAGAGAGGAAGGGGGAGTTGGACTGAAGGTTGTGACTGTCAAGCTGGGGGTCCAGGGAGGCAGAGAGGCAAAGGAGGGCGTGGGCTCAGGACCACAGGGCGCTCAACTGATGCTCCCTGCAGGCTCCTGCTCGGCAACGCCTTGGCATCCCCCTAGAGGGGACCACTTGGGAGTTGTTTACAGACTTGGTTAGCAGAAACTTGGTTAGCAGGTTACTAGGAAAAATAGTCCAACACCTATTTAGCAAATGGTCTGAATCCTTCTGTAACTGGATACCTCTAACTCCCTGGCTTTGTCCTTGTCTCTAAAATTACCCGCTTACCTCCTGGCCCAGCTCCAATTAGCAGCTCCTGAAGTCTGCTCTAGTCCCACTATATAACCTGCCCCACTGCTTCAGGACTGGATCCGGATTTGCTGTGACCGGTACTCCCAGGACAGTGGGTGCCGCTTCTCCTCGGCACCCAGCCTACTCCTTGTGGGACCATCTCTGGCTGTCACCTGAGGTGCCACAACATTGAGCTCCCTCTGGACGTAGCTTCTCCCACGTCCCATTTCATGCTGTCGTCTTCCCTCTTTTCAAAGACCTAGCCACTCTCAACAGTAATTATGACAATGCCTGTTAATATGTATTGTCTTTTATGCCTCGACACTGTGCTAAGTAACTTTATGTTTTCTCATGTGATGTCAATTAAATCTAGTGAACGTCTCACTGTACAATTCAGTAATGCCCAGGGTCACGCAGCTATTAGGTGCCAAGAGAAATCCAGGTCTGTCTACATCAA